TTTCAGAACACCACAAGTTGTGGCTAAAATGAATCCGAATCAATCAAGTCAATGTTGGAGGGGGTGCGGAGAGACAGTGGCTACTCACTCACATATTTTTTGGCAATGCCCATTGTTAGATAACTTTTGGAAATCCATTTTTACATATATTAATAAAGTATTTCATGTTGAACTGATAAGAGACCCCCTGATAGCAATTCTAGGGATGAAACCAGTTGTGATACACAGTAGGGAAAAGATGTATTTATTACAGATATTACTGGTAGCAGCAAAGAAAACAATTACAAAAAAAATTACTTAAAAAGGAGTCGCCAAATCAAGCTGAATGGCTAACAATTTAAAGAAATATTTACACTGTGGAAAAAATTACATATTCATTGAGATTACAAAGGGAACTTTTTATTGAAAGATGGGCACCACTAATGACGGTGATGGAGGACCGTTAGAACTAACTCTGATTATAACTGCCAGGGGAACTTGTATACAACCCATGTTTTGTTTTAAGTTGTTGTTTGTTTTGTTCAAATTGTTTATTTTAAATGTTGTTAATTATTTTTTATTTCTTCTTTTACTTGTACTTCTGGACATATTCTCCTGGAAACTTGACCATACACGTAAGAGCGTGTGAATTATGACCCCTTGTACAGGATACTGTTTCTGAGGGGAAGTAATTGCTGTTAAAGGAGATCTGAAGAATATTCAAAATAAAAAATAAGTAACAAAAAAAAGAAAAGAAAAGGGGTACCCCAGGTATCATATCCCGGTTTTTAAAATCCGGGATATAAGCATATTCGGGTTTTTGCAGGTGTTTACATGGCCGTGCGCGACCGGGTTATTGCTAATATCCCGGTTTTTAACAGGTTATTGGCTGCATGTAAACGTAGTCGATTGAGCAATTAGCCTGGCTACATGAGACATGATTCATCATTTCGATACTTTGTAATATCTTCCATCATATCTACTCATGTTTATTTTATGATGTAGTAAAGAGGAGATTAGATGATTGCGTGCGTTTGAACTGCGCTACAGCGATCTGTCAGCGCGAATTAAATAGCGCCAAAACTACATTTAGCCTATTGTTTGAAATTCGGGATAAAATCTATATATTTTTTAAGCTGAGACTTTGCTTCATATTAAAAGTAACAAACAGCACAGACTAAAATAGTTCAGATTTAAGATATTATCAATTAAAATAGACTAGGCTTACCTGTTGTATATCCACGGAGATGCTGAACACAGTCAAAACGTGCCATCGGCGAAGCCCTTTTAACATCATTTTCGGGTCACATGATTTCGGCACTCTAAGGCCCCATCCACACTACTGCGTTTTAGTTTAGAAACGGATAATTAAAACGAATACGATCTCCGTCCACACCAGCGTTTTAGCTGCATATTAGAATCGATCTCCGTCCACATTAAAACGACTGAAAACGCGGATCACGTGACCATTCACCAACACTGGGCATGCGCGTGCCGGTGTAAACACAACTTCATTGATAAAATTATCCCACCATGCTCTGGGTTAACCCCAAACCGACCCTCCATGTACGGTCAACGCCGCCGCTGCACACGGGAATTGTCACAGATCGCTCGAATAATAGCTTGACTCCGGCGCATGTAGGCAGTTATAGCGTTGTAAAATGCAGAATTTACTTGTACAACAGCTGCTAGCAAAGATATACGCCATGACTGATGACACCCAATCATAGAGCCGAGCGTGAGCCTCTACTACGTCATCGTTTCTAAAGTCCTCCGTCTTGACCCGTCTACACTAAAACGCCCTCCGGAGATTCAAAACGAAAAACGGGTCGGCAGCGTTTCTAAACTTCTCCGTTTTGGGTCTCCGTTTTTTCCGTTTTAGTGTGGACGGGAGGTGCAAACGTAGCAAAAGGTCTCCGTTTTTAAATGAAAACGCAGTAGTGTGGACGGGGCCTAAAAAGCACCCCGAATCCGAAAACAGTCGTTTAAGCCGAAAATTTTCTTAGCAGAAATTTCGGTGAATCCTTAACTTTATGATGTGTATGTGTAGATTACCGGTTATTCTATTTTCTTCTTAGCAACGCTCACGCGAGTGTCCGGTGTAGGCAGCGTTAGCGAGCGACTGAACGCCATTGGGCGGGGCCTGTGCGATGATGTAAAACTATTCGTGGATGTGTTGGCCTGGACGGATGCATGCAAATATCCGTGTGATGTTACAACTCAATTCCCACAAATCCATCCAAACAAGCAGTTTTTGGCGCTTCATTATATAAATGCTTTGTTTATATGAGGACGACTTTTTAATCTCTAAAATTTGCAGGATGTTTTAATTGAACAAACCTATTAAAAGATCAAGGCAAATTTTATTTCTCATGTCATTACCCCTTTAAAGTAATTACAAGATTTTGACTTGTAAAACGTGTTCACGTCTTTGTAGAACTCATAATTACAACTTATAAATCTGGATTTTTGGAGAGCCTTGACTTACCAACTGACCGCTGCAACGTCGGAAACACTGCAGTTCCAACCTCTTCACTAAAATGTAGTTCGTCAGTTATTTCGTAATATTTAAATTGAATAATTCCAATAATTGATTGTTAATTAATTTATTTTGTTTAATTAAAATAAAGGCATGGTTTAACATAAAGTAGCCTAGCTAGCATAGCCTAACAGTTGTTATGGAAAAGCCTCCAGAAAAAGGGTTGGTTAACACTGACTTGGCTTTGCCTATACAAATTGAGGTACATTTTTTTTTTAAAGAAGAAGACATAATTCCTTACCTGCACACAAAGGGCTGATCTCTGTAGATCTCTGAGCCTGTTTTTTCTTTGTTTTCAAAATCCCGATACATTTTTTTGGAAACAGTGACACGAAATTTCACTCCTATAATCCTTTTATCGCACCCCTTGTGTAGCTGATTTCTTTTCAGTTTAATCTTAATCAGCCAGATGTGTTTGACATTGGAAGCAATAACAACAGCTGCTCTTTATGAAACCTTCTGGTGCCGGCTTGCAGAGTGTGTTTGTTTTTACTGCATCGTAATACCTGCATCTTCAAGTCTGCTGTTTTCTTTTACATATTCCCCTCTGCAAAGCTGCTCTAGGCTTAATGACATCATTAGACCCACACTCTCGCTTCACTGATTTTCCTAATATGTTCGGCGGGAATGTAAAATAGTCAATTTTGGATACAAAGGTTGGTCAATGATGTTGATATACCTCATGCTATATTTAGCAGATATTGAGATGTCATGTCTGGGCACTCTCATGGAAAAGAAAAATCACAAAGGAGATTTAATTTTCTTTAATATCTTAATTGAGACAATGAGTCAACAATGAGATTAAATGGACATTTGCTTGCTCAGAGTCTCCTCTACAGTTTCAGAAGAAATCTCAACGTCACAAACTCAGACTCAGACTTTCCAAAGTATGAAATATTAGCTGTGACTATGCTTATTCATGATGCTCAACATGGGTCTATTTGTCATCTATTATGAATCATGTCTATTAGCATTGTTGCTACTGCGCTCCCTATGCAAAGGGACCCACTGTATTAAATTAGGTGGTCCGGATATTTTGACTGCATGCAGAGAATACAGTTCTTATTAGGGAACCTTTGTTTCATCGGTTGGTCCATTTTTTTCCTGTGCGCACTGTGCATCTTGCCCCTGGTGTCCCTGTGCTAAGCTAGCAATCAGCGTTAGTGGCTAGATGTGATAATTAGCATGCAGATCCATTCGCAGGCATATCTCGCCTGCCATAATTGTACCAACTTTTGCTTCATCCTCTACCCACTGTGCCTTTGTATGTAATCACACAATTGTATGTTGCCTACGTTGCCTACTAATGTTACTTGTGTGCGAACCTGTGGAAATACTTTGTTGTGAAATATCTAATCTGTGTAATATAACCTTTCTAATAAACGACAAGACTCTTTCAACCACTGCTGAAAGTTTTGCATTTTACTTACATATTTACAAGGTAACACAATTGCAAAAGGTCGCTCATAGTGACAGGAGATGTTGTCCATTATATGTGATTACATTCACACAGGTCGTAATGTCGTAGCATAGAATCAGCTAGTCAACCAGAACTACGAGACTGTATGCATGTTGTGTGTGTGTGTGTGTGTGTGTGGCTACCATTGGCTAGACATTCTACCATTAATTTCCATAAATCATTTGGGTCAAACACTCTTGTTTATTCATCTGAGAAATGGTTGACTTGATGAGTAATGTAGTGTAGTGTGAACGCATTGTAGATCATCTAATTAAGTCTATCTCACACCTCCAGAGAACTGTCAAAATGAGATATCAATTCTCACAGCTCTCTAAGGGAAATGACAAAACCATATAATGACAAAACAATGTGCACTTGCTCCTGTGAAATTATCGTCACTTTAGCTCCTACGACTTTCAAAAGGTCAGGCTCACTCTGTTGAACATTTCATAGAAGTATGCCTATCTTGAGAAATGTAGAAGTGTTCCAGTGTGAGCTATGTGCCTCATATGTGTCTTAAGGTTAAAGTAGAGTGTGCAGTCCATTACCAGATGCGAAAGACTGTCATTTGATTGAACTCCGATTGCCAGAGACCTCTTGAGAGTGTCTGGACTTGAGAGTGCAAGGCTCTGAGGGCAAATTTTCGAACAGTGATCTATATGAGACATGCAGTGATCCTTAGAGACTTGTGAGGCTGAGAGGATTTATAAGACGTTCTGCATGACTTGTTTTCTGACATGGGTCCGAGCTAATAGGAACGGGAACAGAATTAACTGCTAATGGTATAAATGCAGATATAACTAGGGTCAGAGGGTATGGGAAAGAGTGACCTCAGCCAAAACACCTGATATTTTCCTGGCTACTTGCTATTAGAAGAGACAATTGAGGAAAGAACGGGAGGTGAAAAAGAGCAGTCAACATCTAGTTGTAGTTTGCTGATATTCCCCTTGGCTGTGGTGGGTTCAAAGACAGGGTATTCCCAAACGGATTTACACCTCCAGTAAAAGCTGCACTGTAAACCTTTGTTTAATATCAGGAGTTTTCATTCAAGGTCAAAGAGATGTACTCTATGAAGGAATCTTGAGCCTGTATCACTAATGTCCACAGTAACATCAAAACAAAGCTGAGAGCCTGAGTATTATTTTTAGTCCTCATAAAAGAAAAGCCCACCAACAACAAAGCCTTCGTTTTCGGATAAGAACATTGAATATTGGCTGGAATACCTCTCCAGTGCTGCGAAACCTCCTTAATGTCTGAGTGCTCCTTCTGATTAGTCTGTGCTGATGTGCTGCTCATCTTCAGAGGCAGCTGTCGGGGACAGGGCTCTCAGGCGATTGGTTCTCCTTCACCACTACCTCGGAGATGAGCGTCAGGCAGGTGGCAGGGTTGCGGGACGAACAGCGAGAGAGTAGTTCCTGCCCACTACGTCTGCAGGGGCACAGGTAACCCCGCAGGTGCATGCGGACCTTGCTGTGCAACGAGGCATAGATGAAGGGGTTGTAGCAGGCTGAGCTCATGGCTATCAGGTGGCAACTGACCTGCAGCACATTGACGTAGCGTTTGTCCACAATCTGGAAGTCTGAGTCTAGATCCAGAAGGAGATTGAGGACTTGCAGTGGGAGCCAACAGAGGGCAAAGGCAAGCACAGAGGCGACCAGAAGGGAGAAAGTCTTGTGCCGCTGCTTGCTCCATCGCTGCTGGTTTTGGGAGGGCTCTCCAGGCAATGTGTGTTTGCGGAGGTGCACACTGATGGCACAGTAAGAGATGCTTACAGACAGCAGGGGGATCATGTAGGACGCCAACAAGAAGAAGCAGGAGTAGAGTAGGCGCTGTCGTTCGGTACCCAGCCAGAACTCCTCGCATACTACCAACTCCATGCCACTTGGTCGCAGGTCCACGTAACGTGTGTGGAGGGAAGGCGGAGCGGCAAGGGCCAACGAAACTGCCCAGACGCCCAAAGCCACTGCGCCACATCCCCACACGGAGATACGCCTCCGTACTGGGTACGCCACCACCACGTAGCGGTCCATGGCGATGGCAGTGAGGGATAAAACAGAGGCGAAGACCGTTGCGCCTTGCAGCAGAGGAATAAGGTGGCACATCGGGCGTCCGAATGCCCAACCACGTGCATCAAAAGCGTACGACGCCGTCAACGGTACACAGCTCAGACACATCAGCAAATCCCCAGCTGCCAGGTTGCCAATGAAGAAATTGGTGGCATTGTGGAGCTTCTTGTCTGACAGAATGCAGGCAAGAAGGAAAGTATTCCCAACACCTGCTACAACAACAACTAAGGCGTAGAGCGGAATAAACAGAGGTTTGAAGCGCCACAGCAGCTGTGTTCCTGAGAACTTATCCAGGGGGTCTGTCCGATTCGAAGCTCCGAGGGTTGCGTTAAAGCCAGCCAGAACTTGTTCCAGAAGAGGATCCATTTCTACCTGTGACAAAAACATTGATGAACAACAAAGATGGTCATCACGCACACACTTCTACACACTCGCTCAACTGTTAGAGATAAACTCAGTGTGAGATTGGTACATGGAAACGTTGTTGCCATGCTCTTGATGGAACCCTTTTAGTCTTTCTCCTTCTGCCTTGATGAGACTCGAGCACTCTCTAAGCGCAAAGCAGAATGGCTGCGTTTCACAGACCCAATTAATTGTCAAAGCAGTTTTTTTTTCTCAAGGGGAGTCATAAAGTCTAATTACAGAGTTATTATTTAGTATTATCTAGAAGAAACTCCGAAGGTATTTACCTTTATTTAAAGCCACGTTGTCTGGCAGAGGATCTACTCGTTATAATAAGGCCTTATGAATGGAGAAAAATGAGCATTTGATGACTATAATTACTTCCTGAGTATATATCGAACTCCATTACACAGAATTTCACAATGTGTGATTAGATGAATGCATGATTACAGTACCAATTCTACCACAGCAGATATAAGTGGAAAAAGCCATAAAATAATAATGATGATAATAAACATGTTAATCAGTTAATAACTAATAAATGCATTATCTAGTTTAGCATAATTATGATTTGCACTATAGGATCAAATGTGTTCCAAATATGCCATCATTTTAAACAGTGATAGAAATTAAGTACAAATAAAAACACTGATATTAGTGTGTCAAATGAGAAATGATATCTGATGGTGGCATCAGCCGCCAGTAAAGCTGAATGAGACAAAACAGGTGCAGTGAATTGTTGCAGACTGATAACATTTTTTATCAGTTTTTAATCATTAGTTAGGACTAAAGCAATTGAATATAAACTTGTTTACTCAATCACATTTAATTAAATCCACTTTTTTTTTTTTACTGTATAGCCTATATGTGTGGAAAACAAATTTGTATGTGTGGAAAACAAATTAATAAAAAGTGTTTTAATAAAAAGCTATGCCATTTACAGCACAGTTTTAAAAAGACACATGCAATGTGAATGAAAAGCAAGTGAAATGAAAAAGACACAGAAAGGAAGAATACCTGCTGCATAAAATCTTGAGGTATAGCAAGGTGCGGTTTTGATGTCCCTCCGTGTTGTTTCAGAGTTAAGATATTGTTCATCTCCACATTTCCACATCCATAAATGATCCTCTGTGCCCAGTTTTCCATGCAATGTGTGATATCTGATATCATTTACCACTGTCTCACAGGAGGAGAGTGGGTAGTGAGGTGCAGACCACCAACCCAATGGTCTGTGGTGGAGGGGGGTGCTGGGGGCTGAGAGGGAATGAGAGAGAGAGAGAGAGAGAGAGAGAGAGGGAGGGAGAAAAAGGGGAGTGACTCTGTCTTCTGTCACAACCGCAGTGAGACCAAGACTGAAAAGAGACACGGTTCTCCTTCTGAGACCAATCTCCTTCTTTCACCCACTCTCTCTCTCTTTCTCTCTCTCTCTCTCTCTCTCTCTCTCTCTCTCTCTCTCTCTCTCTCTCTCTCTCTCTCTCTCTAAATGTGAGACATACAGAGACGCAACTCAGTCTTTAATCTCTGTTTGAGATCGTTTTTCACTTTCCCAGCTTGCTATCTGTGAGTGGAGATAATTCTGGAAATATCAGTGTGGCAATGCGCGTGGTTGGAACTCAAATGCGCACCACACAGAATCACATATAGATATGAATAACAAAACAAAACAAAACAGGTGGTTGCTGAATTCTCTAGAGCAGTTGGTCGTTTCTTCAAGTTCTATGGGATCTTCGGCTTTGTAGACTTTTAGGAAGTAAATATAACACTCTTAAAATACTTTTTACACTCAAAGCAGTTTAATTGGTCTACAACAGTGTCCAACAGTATATGGATAACATAATTTATTTTTGTCATTATGAAATGTCATTAATATTTTCCACCTTAGTGTAATTTCCATCACATCTCAAAAGTATTGTGCATTAGTGATAAAAATGACATTTTTGGAAATGAGATTAATGAGATGAGTAAGTACACCAAGCACAACTTTGGAAAAAAAGGTGTTTTTTATTACTTTAGTAAATACTATTATAACATTTGTTAATATTTTGAATTACGTTTTTCGTTTTAGTTTAAGTTTATTTTCAGCTTTATTTTAGTGAACATTTTTTTTATATAAAATAATTTTTTATCTTTTTTGAAAACAGATTTTAGATACTATATTACACATTACAGAAATATAAAAATGTTGTTTAGATGATCAAAATAGTAAACATAACATTTCATATTTTTTTTTATATATAATACATTTTCATAGTTTAAAATGCTAAGTTGGGTCTTGGACAATAATATAATACCTATATAAAAGGCACTGTTATGTAGTTTTAATAAAAAAAAATCAAAGCAAAAAAAGCAAACTGTCACCCACTGTAATATTTCTCCATTCTGATGTTGACATGTAGCAATAAAGTTAAAGTTATAGACTATTCTCATATCTCATAAGCTTTCCTGTAGCTCACACGGTAGAGTGTTGCTGCTTTCAAGGCCAAGGTCATGGGTTCATTCCCCAAGGAAAGCAAAAACTGATAAGAAAGTAAAAATGTGCACCTTGAAATGCAATGCAAGTCGCTTTGGATAAAAGCGTCAGCTAAATCTGTCATTGAATGTATTGCTACTGTCATCAGTTTGGGAAAGATCACTACATTCATATTTCCCAACCCCTTCTGATCAACTTTTTTATCACTATTGTAGATGTGCAATACTCTTTTTTTTTTACTCTATTGTGATTCTCAGTGTTTGAAAACAACCCTCCTTGGTTTTCCTAGCTGATGAAAGTTCCTCAGAGAAAAGAACAAAGAGAAAAGCTAAATGTCAGACACATAATTCCTTCTATAAGCATCACTCTAACAGTTAATCATCATTAGCCTCGCTATTTACACCACAATGTGCAGGCAATAATTTAGAACCATTCAGTCGTTCAGTTTTGAATAGTTTATAGTGATTAGAATGCAGGAAACTTGGTCAGGAAGAATCAGGAGAATCAAGAGTTTTCGTTTTAGTGAGACTAAAAATAAAAGTCTCTAGAAGGAGGTGGGATTCAGGGTAGATTTAAATGCACAGTGTGCAAATGCAATCTGAACATGAAACAAATGTACTGATTATGTACTCTGAATTTCACTAAAAGAAAACTGATGTTTCAATGAATTCATGGAAGTTAAGTTTACATAATCACGAATCATTGTTTGATGACATTTACACATTTCATTCTCATGAATTCTAGGTAAACGTTTTATCTCCCTAAAGGACAGCTGAAGACGCGGGTGTGTTTTCAATTTGGGCAGTCAAACTGACATAGAGTGGATGTGTATGGGGGTTGGCATGAGGCTAAACACAATCAATTACCATCTTGTTGATGCCCTGAGAAGGGTGAACTAAAAATGGCCAAAAAAACAGGGTGAATAGAGTGAATTCGAAAGGTTAATTGCAGTTGTGCCTGTCTAAGTAAATGTCTTGGCATTGCTAGTTTTCGGAATTAAAACTTCGGAATCTGCAGGCAAAGCCTTTAGTGTAAGACAATCAACACTAATAATTTTATCCCTCGTGTCATGAGGATTTTGACCTCTGCAGTCATCCGACCTTTGTTCGACCCCGGCGACCGCTCTCACACTGTGAACGGTGGTGTCACATGCGAGCTGTTGCTTTTGCTTGACGAGGGGACGAATAAAGAGATTCACTGGACATAGTATCAGCTCTGGTTAAAACTCATTTAGTAGCACTGATTTAGAATCAAATGCCAGACTCAGATGGTGACCTTTTTGAAAAGTGCAAAGCCCTTATCTAGTCAGTCACAAAGGGCTTTTGTGACATATTTTTGAATGAAACAGGATATTAAATTCACTATTGTGAATTGAATGGGTTACAAAAAGTTATAATGTATCTTTCTGATACTTCTATGGCAAGTATATTTTCACGGTTACTGCAATAGCCTTGGGGTCTCAAATGCCCAAAGTATATGTTGGGTTTTTTTTTGCGCACAAACAAAAGGTCCACGGTTCGAGCCTCGGCTGAGGTCGGAGTCCTTTCTGTGTAGAGTTTGCATGTTCTCCGTGTGTCAGAGTGGGTTTCCTCCGGGTGCCTTGCATGGTTTCCATTCCGGTTAGGTGGCTTGGATATGCCAATTTGGCTGTAGTGTGTGCGAGTGTGTCCCAGGTTGCGCCCGGAAGGGCATCCAGCATAAAACCTGTGCCAGATCCAATGTGTATGTGTGTGTGTGGATAGCCAATTCCAATCATCAACAAAGTACGTGCGTATTGTCGTGCAGCCCGATTTTTCTAACTGCAGGCATCCCACCTCTCCCGGAGGTTCAGGGAGTCTCCCGCATATTGATAGCTGCCCTCTGAAGCCCGCAAATTATTCACAACATCTCGGAAATCGAGCGAGCGAGAGAGAAACCCTGTTTCCACGTAGTATTAAGATGGGATTTCAGTGATCCAATCACAAGTGCTTAGCCAAGACGCATTGCCATTCACACCTGGTTCTAACATGCTTTTCAAATGCATCTCCTGTCCTGTGACCATTGCAACTGCTTTTTATCACTTCATTTTGATATCACTTAATTGTGTCTTCTGTTACATAGGGACTACTAATCAGACATTTAGACGTTTTAAAATGCAAAGTATTGAAAATCAAAATAAAGCTCTGTAAACACTTGCATTTTTTCAACACTACTGTATAAGTCTGTCCTATCAGGTAATCCAAAATTTGAATCTACTTGCAGTCTTCACACCTGCAGTACTTGAACACTTGGGCCAAATACAGGAAATACATCATGCAAGTAGCCAAGTGGTCAAGTGCAAAGACCGCAAGTGTGGCTATTTGGAAAGGCCCCAAGTTACACTGTTCTTGTGTAATTTGTTCTTGTTCTTCCTCTTCCATATTTTTTAAACAATTACAGAAGCCAACATTGACGAGTGCTTGTGTGAGTGAGTGGTATAATAGATACAGGCAACTCATTTTTAAACAAAGACATTTTAACCTTTGTATAGAAATAGTGTAGACACTGGACAAGCATGAAACTTTATAGTGTTAAACGTCTGTGTTCTCACACACTATTTCTACTGAGTATATCCTACTTTGAAAGGCTATGCGTTCGGCATACAATAAGAGAACTAAGGTAAACGATGGGCCTTAACGTCTCAAACAGAATATAAATGTCAAAAAGATTCAGAAACTCACAAGTTACTGGTTTGAATACATCTAACCGAATATGTGTTTATGTATTCGTGCCAATGTGTAGTTAAAGGTGAAGTGTGTCATTTAGGCACCACTAGCAAAACAGAAAGCATTTCAAAAAGAGTTTTTTTTCCTAGAATCTCAACCGAAGTTTGGAAATTAGCTCCCTTATGCCACCCAATGAAATCTCTAGATCCAGATGGAGAACCATGTGAATTAGCTCACTTCAACCAAGGACCAGAATTAAAAAAAAAAAAAAAAAAGGAGGGGAGGGGGGTGTTTATGGGGTTTCTAATACACTACATTATATAATACTTAAAGTCCCTGTAAAGGCAATTAAAAAAAAAAATTCTAAACACATTATAAATGTTAGAAATGTATTGCTAAAACATATTACAAAGACTGTGAACTGTGAAGTACTGAATTGTGGAGTTAGACCGTTAAACAGTTTTTCACCATTGATATTTTACGGATTTTTTGGGCGGGGTTAAAACGGGGCTCGATGACGCACTGGAGCCCCTGAGCTCCTGGACACGCCCCTACTTGATGACGCACTGGAGCCACTGAGGCTGTCCGCTCCCCTAACAATATAGAGCACATTCACATCAGTTTTGCCGCTCAATCGTGAGTTACGGTCAGTACTAGCAGCCTACAGATTGCTAGCTAGCTATGCCTTCGTCACAGAAAAGCGTAGGCCTACTACCTGGATGCGATCACCGGATCACATACAAAACAGATCGGTGTCCTTATGTAAATTTCCGAAAAACGATTACATCAAGAAGAAGTGGATTAAAGGTGCAGTGTGGGATTTTTAGCGGCATCTAGTGGTGAGAATTGCAAATTGCAAACAGCAAGTCACTCGCGGCCTATCCCTCGGTTTTCAAACTCGAATGAGAAGCTACGGTGGCCGACGTAAGACAAAATATGTCGTCGTCTGAGTCAGCAGCAGAGAGTAGTAAGTCAAGCAATGAGGTTTCTTTAGCGCTGTTTGTTCGCTTTCGGCTACGGTAGAAACATACCTTCAGACCTTCATAGAAGGGGATTCCCGCGTCTATGTAGATATAAATGTCTCATTCTAAGGTAATAAAAACAT